GAGGCCGCTTCGGGACGCGCCTGGAGCAGCCGAACGCGCGGCGGACTCGAACGCGGCTGCACCGTGGAGCCCGACCGGGAAGAACGCTTCTGGTTCGAGGAGCTGGCAGGTCGGCGGCGCGCATGCGCGAACTTCAAGTCGCGCTTTCGCCGCGTCGGCTCGTCTTGGTTCGTTTCGATCGGTCTCCTGCGTGGAGGTTTTCGTACCGTGCCTTGTTTACCTCGGTGAGACCGGGTGGAGTGCGGAGTAGACGTTGATTCGGGCCTTTTAGTCTTTTTGAAAGTCCCCCGTGAGCGCCAGAAGAGGATCTGGTCGTTGTTGACGCGACGGGAGATGAGCCACCGTGACGCGCAGAGTTGCCGTCCTTTGACCCGCGTGAAGAGAGTTCGCAAAAACGGATGAAATCACAAAAACCAAAATTGCAAAATCATTTTCCTCATCAAAAGAAAATCCAACTTTGTTTCCAAACTAAAAGTAATCGGGTGGAAAATGTCTTTCAAACGATGATGCCTTTTATCGACGGATTTTTGAAAAAACAAAAAAAAAAAACCAAAACAATAAATACTAATAGTTCCACAGACTTCTGAAGCGAATTTGATGAAACAAAATGCAAATGATGTAGAATGTCATCCTGGCCGTGAACCGGGCCTCACCCCTCAAAGTTGCTTTTTGGGACGGCGAGCCCCATCGCGTTGTTGAGCGGCCTTCCACTTTGTGGTCCGATTTCCCGCAGCAGCCGCTCTTTGAACGGGTCTCGTGTCCTTTCAGATCCAGAGGAGGACGCGGACGTGGAGGCGGGTGTCCTTTCGCAGCAGAGCCGGCCTCCGCCCGCGCTTCCTCCTTGGCGCACTGGGGCGGAATCCCTCATTGAGTTCCACGACGCCGACTTCCCGCCGCGCCCGAGCACGGCGGCGAAGGACGAGCGCGAGATGTACGGGACGGCGGATTCGGAGCAAGCCGTCGGCGAGACCGGCTGCTCGGGTTGCGGCGCCACCCTGCATTGCGCCGACGCGACCCTGCCGGGCTACCTGCCCGGCGAGAAGTACAAGGCGCTGCTGCGGGAGGACCGTCTCCGCAGCGCCACCTGCCAGCGCTGCCACCTGCTGCGCCACCACCACCGGAAGGCCCTCGACCCGCAGGCGTCCGAGGACGAGTTCCGCCGCGCCTTGCGGCCGATCCGCTCCCGGAGGGCGCTGGTGCTCCTCGTGGTGGACCTCCTGGACGTCCCCGACTCCATCGTGCCGGACCTTCCGGACCTGGTGGGCGCCGACAAGCGCGTCGTGGTGCTGGGCAACAAGATTGACCTCCTTCCCGCCGACTCGCCCAACCACCTGCAGCGAATCCGACGGCAGCTGGGCCGCTGGTGTCGGGACGCCGGCTTCGGGCCTCAGGTGAGCGACGTCCACCTGATCAGCGCCAAGACCGGCTACGGCGTGGAGGCTCTGATCTCCGGCCTGCAGAGGGCGTGGAAGTACAAAGGCGACGTCTACCTGGTGGGAAGCGCCAACGCCGGCAAGTCCACGCTCTTCAATACGCTGCTCCGCTCCGACTACTGCAAGTCCGAAGCCTGCGACGTCGTCGGCAAGGCCACCGTTTCCCCGTGGCCCGGTGAGCGAGAGGACCGCCCGTGGCGTCGCCGGACCGACTTGCGCCCTTCGTCCCAAACGCTTCCCAAATTCCACACCGAGGGTGTCCGGATCCCCCGCGGGCGCGTCCCCGTTTCTTTGCGTTAGCCTCGGACGGAAGAGCGTCTCCCGGGGGTCCCGCGGGTCTGCGCTTGAAAAACAACCACCGCCGATCAGAACGTTTGCCGCGGCGCCGGAGAAATCAAGTGGTCCCAGACCGCCGGGCCGCGCGGATAAAAGGAAATGCCTTGAAAAGTTGTCGATGGCGCCGGCCCAAAAATAATCGCTTGGGGGGGGGCGTCACTGGCCCGTTTGGGCAACAGGGACTCGTTTTCCCGAAATTTCCGACGGCGACCCGTCCCTGGCTCCGACCCGCGCTACCGTCGAGGCCCGCTGAGCCAAACGCACGGACTGCCGGCGTCCTCGTTCAAGTCCCCGCCGAGGGAGCCTCGCGTCCGCTTTGCGTCGAGTCGCCACAACGGCGACCTCAAAAGTACGGAAAGGGCGTTTGGTTTTGGCGGCCGACAGCTCTGAGACGGACACCGAAGGGACGGCGCCTTGGCAGCAAACGCGTCACACCGCCGAGACGTCAAGGCGCTCGGCCACGTCCGAGTCGACGAGTGCGCGTCGTCGTCGTGCTGTTTTTGACAGACGGGAGTTGGCCCCGAAAAGCTTCGCGAAGATGATGGGCGAGCGCGGTCGGCCAAAGGGCGCTTTTGCGGGTTGCCGTCTGACCGATTGTCGCGCTTCTCCTCTGACGCGCGGCCAGGGACCACTCTGGACCTGCTCAAGTTCCCCATCGTCAACCCCACGCCGTACCGGATGTTTCGACGCCGCGAGCGCCTGGAGGAACGTCGCCGAGAGACGGAGGACGACCCGTCGCCGCAGCAGCCCAAGACGCTCAAAGACGTCCGCCGCCAGGGATACTTAGTCGGTACGGGGAGGAAGAGGGCGGCGCTCCGGGGCCGCGACCGTCACAACCGGGGCCCCAACCCGCCGGTCTTTTTGTGCGTGCCAGGTCGCGTGGGTCGAACTTTCCAGCCCAAAGTCGGACGAGGAACCGTCGCCTTCGATCCGGACGCGTTGGCCTTCGGAGAATACGACGACGACGACGACGGAGAACGCGGGAGCGCCGGTGAGAGACGCCATTGGGCCATCAGCGCTGCCGGCCGCTTCTTTTAACCAATCAACGTTGACGCAGGAAAAGAGGACGCCGCCGGCCCCAGCGCGCCGACCCCCGACGAGCCCAAAGATTCGCATTGGCTGTTTGACACGCCGGGAATCGTGAAGGAACGCGACGTGAGTGCCGCCTCGGCGATGGGCCGGCTTCTCCCGGACCGAGACCAACGTCGCGTCGCGCGGCTGTCCGCAGATCCTCGGCCTGCTCGGCGAGCGGGAAGTGCAAGCCGTGGTTCCCTCGCGGCCCATCGTTCCTCGCACCTTCGTCCTGAAGCCCGGAATGAGTCTCTTTGTCGGCGCGCTGGCCAGGATCGACTACCTGGAGGTCAGTGAGCGTCGAAAAGCAAGAAGCCAAGCGGCGTCGCGCCGATCGACGGCCTCGCACCGCAACTCTCATTTGCGGCCGATCCGCTCTTCCCGCGGTCATTGTCGTCTTTCTCTGCCGGCGACGCCGTGACAGTCGCGCGCTCTTCCGCTCCACGGCGGCGGCTGCAAATTCGTCTCGGGAACACGCAGGCAACGCGAGACAACAAAGTCCATCGGACGAGAGCGCAAACTCGTATCGGCTCGCGCGGGGTTCCGACCAAAGAAGGCCCAGCGTCACCAAAGTCCATTTCCGCCTCGCGCGTCTTTTGTTTGGCTTTTCTTCAACGTCCAAAATAGGCCGCCTTCGAAGGAGGACGCTTCGAAGCAAATGGGAACCGGGTTCTGCCGCTTGCCGACTCTCGTTAATTATTCGTCTCGCTCTCGTTCGGCACAAATCTGTAGTTACGACTTGCGTTTTCCAAATGAGCTCGTTTCTGCAAAAACACTTTCCAAGGTCGGCGCCAACAAAACCCAAGACGTAGAACGCCAGTCTTGGTTCTCAAAAGGTCGACAAACCCGCAACCGAATTGCGCGCGGCGCTCGCGGCCCCCTTTGGAAATGACCGCGCTCGAGCAAGTAAGCGAGCCGAGCGGACGGAGGGCACCCGAAGCCCTCCCCAGATCAACCGGTCGAAACGGCTCGGCGGCGCGCTCGCGGCGGCGGGACCGAGCGATGGCAACGTGCCGGCACGGCCATGTCGAAAGAAAGAAAGAAAATGAAACGATCAGAAGAAAAAGAAGAGTCGCACGAAGGGTGCCGGCACCGCGCCGCGAGGGACCTCCAGACGCGCAATCGGAATTTTTTTGTCCGACGTCGGCCATGAAAACGGTTGGATGGAGAACCTTGTCGACTTCCAGGGGGAAAAGTCCTGCTGGTTTTCCGTCATGGCCTCCGCTCAAGTTCCGGTCCACATCAGCAGCGTGGAAAAAGCCGACGCCGTCTACCAGAAACACGCCGGACGCGAGCTGCTGGGGGTGAGCGGTGGGCGGCGCCTCCGAAATGTGGGCGGGGCCGGCGGCGCTGACGGCGTTTTTGTGGTTTGGTCCGCAGGTGCCGGCGGGAGGGGCGCAGCGCATGAAAGACTTTCCGGCCTTGGCGCCTCAGGATTTCCGGCTGGAGGGTCAAGGTCACACGGAGGCCGCCGCGGACATCAAGCTGTCGTCCGCGGGTAGGTCGTCGCCGCCGCCGCCGCGGGCGGGCACCCGCGCCCCATCGTGACGGAAATGGCCGCCCACGCAGGTTGGGTGGCGGTGACGGCGTTTGAGGGCCAACTGCCGCTGCTGAGGCTCCACGGGCCGCCCTCGGCGGCCTACGGCCTGAGGACGCCGCCGCTACTTCCTCACGTGGTTTCCCTGAAGGGGGCGCGCGTCCCCAAGTCGGCCGCCTACAAAGCGCTGACGCCGGCGGCGCTGCGGGACGCCGGCGGCCCGAGGCGGCGGCCCGAGAAGAAGGGAAAAGCGCCCGCGCGCTCATGAAGGCACGACAACATCATCCGATCAAGAAAACTTTATTTCACCCGAGTGTGACCTCGGAAAGGCCCGCGTGGAAAAAGAAACTGAAAGAAAAGCGCACGGATTCATCTTGGACATTGTCACAATGTCGCGTCGCCGAGGCCGCGGACTGAGCGGCCGTCCGATTGGGCGCGCAACCGTTTAGAATGTTTTGACCGCGAGCGCGTAATACACGTGCCGCGATTGAACAAGGTTCGCCCGGCGGGTGTCAAGAGACTTGATGGGGTGACGCGACCCTCATCAAGTCACGTGGACTCACGTGGCTCCTTCATGACGACAAACAAGAATATTGCACCCAATAAAACACAAGACAAGCGTGAGCTGAAGTTCAAGAAAAGAGGCCTTGTCCGGAAAGCCGCGATTCGCACCCGACGGCGGGATTGTTTGACGGCTCGCCTTCGGCTTCCCCAAGACAAAAGGCCTTGCCGGCGTTTCTAGTCGCTCGCCGGCGCCGCGGCGTTCATGTAGTACACGTTGACAAGGTGGCGGTGGAGGTGGCGGCGGTATTCGGGCTCCGCGGGGAAATGGCGGTCGCAGAATATGCACGTGTGACCTTTGAGCTCGGCGGGAGCTCCGGCTTGACGGGGGGGCGTCTCCGAAGTTTTGCCCACGCCGGCGCCGTTCCCGTTGAGTCCGGAGTCGTCGCTGCCCTCCGAGGCGCCGTCGCTGACGTCGCCGTCGCCTCCTTCGTGGCTGCTGTGGACGCCTTCGTCGTCGTCGGGCTCGGAGGCTTTGCCGCGCTGGCCGGGAAGCGGCGCCGGCGGCGCGGAGGAGGGTTCCCCCGCCTTTTGAGCCGGACGGGAACGACCGTTTGGCGGTCGACGGCGAGCGCTTGCCCGTTCGGGCCCGGCGGTCCTTCGGGCGCGAAAGGTCGAACGCTTCGGCCGCTTTCCTCTTTTTGGACTTTTCCTCGCCGTCCTTGCGAGGGCCTTCGGGCGCGGCCGCGCGCCGAGCGAGGAGATCCCGCTGGTCCGACTTCCTCCCGCCGTCGCCGCCCCGGTTCCCGTCTCGCCGGCCGGCCGTCGCGGGCCCTTCCGGCTCGCCCTTTGGCGGCGGCCCGTCGCCCGTGGCCTTCTTGCCTCTTCTCTTGGCCTTGGCGTCCTGCGGGTTGTCCCCGCTCTTCTTTTGTCTGGTTTCCCGCGCGGCGTTGTCCGCCGAGCCGCGGCGTTTCCCGGGCATCTCCTCCCCTTCCCGTCCGTGGAAGCGGCTCCCCGCCGAGCCCCGGGCCGTCCGAGCCCCCCCCGGCCCGCGACGGGTCGGCTCGGGCGGGCCGCTCGGGTTTTTTCACTCTCAGCTTGACCTTGGAGACGTCGACGGTGACGTCGCAGCCCGAGTGGCGAGATTTGATGTGGTACTGCAGGTTGCACTTCTTGGAGGCGGCGTACTTGCACAGCGGGCAGAGGAACTGGCGGGGGTTGAGGTGCAGCTCCACGTGCTTCTTGAAGTTGCTGCGGTCGGCCGTCTTGTACTCGCAGTAGGGGCACGCCAGCGGTTTGGGGCCGTTGTGGACCTGCCGGGCGTGGCGGGTCACCTCGTGCTGGTTGGCGGCCAGGTAGTTGCAGCTGTCGCACTTGAACGGCCGCTCACCTGCGCGCAAAAACCAAAGCGCCGTCAACCTCGCCCAACATCCGACCCGACTGACATTTTATGGCTGTGAAAAGGAACGTCTCTCGTCGAAACATTTGACGGAATATTGCAAACTATCAGCAGACGAGCGCGGGGCAAAAGGGATTCGCTTGGCGGATTCCTTTTTTTTTCTTCTTGTTCGACCCCGACTCGGAATGTATTTTCACATCTACGTTTTCAAGGCGGGTGCACAACCGCCTCCCCCTTTTTGGTGGAAAACTTCCCACTTGACTTTGTAGGAGGGCTCGAGTCGCACGGGGCGTCAACTTCACATGATTTCCGAGCTTAAGAAGTTTGCATCCGCCCGAGATGAGAGCGGCCCCGAGGAAAATAAAACTACAAGGAAAAATACCTTCTTGACTTCTACCACCGAGCTCCAAGTCCTCGAGACACATACACATACACATCAAGTCCACACACACACACACACAAAGAAGAGTTTACCGTGTCGTTGCGCCATTCGAATGCTTCAGTGGACAAACAAAAGTCACAACAATGAAGCCTTGTCAATACATGTGCATCGGTAGCGGTTACACAACAACAAGAAGCGGGACAACGGCGATGTTGGTGACGAAAGCCCGACCGAGATGGATTTGTGTTTTTTGGGGCCGGCCGACTCGCATATTTGGCGGACAATTATTAGGATGACGTGTTCATTTCAAAAAGTGCCCAAAACAGCGTCATGACGACGCCTCGAGTGGGAAACGCCGAGTCCGATTTGCGCCGAGGCCATTTTTCTGCCACTCGGTGGGGCACGATAGCGGTTCGCGTGGCAACCTGACAACACGAACGTGCGAAAACTTTCTCGTCTTCCGCCAAACCGTTTGCGCCATTGCGAATGCCGAGCGCGCGACCTGCCGCCGAGCAAAGTCGCTCGCTCGTTTCATCCCGGTACCTGCAAGCGTAGCTGTCCGAAGTGCTGATGGGCCCGCACGCTCTGACTTGAAGCCCTCCCAAGAAGAGAAAAATGGGATCAAAAGGGAGGGGCGGGCGGGGGGCTCCGGCACAGAGTTCCAGATAGCGGGATGAAGTGTGGCGCGTGAGCAAGCAACTTTGCTTCTCTGCGGCTCACGTGGGCAGCGCTCCCGGTGGCCCGAAGCGTTTGGTCCAAGAGACGCTTTAGCGCCGTCAGACAAGACGTCCGCTCGCCACGACAAGACGTCGGTGACGGGAGGACGGGCCTTTTTGCTGGCCACTGAACGGGGGCGCGAGGCAACTCGTGGGCTTGTTGCGCACGTCGTCATCGGCGACGCAGCACGTGTGCGTCGCCGATGACGCCGCCGCGTTCGACGAGCGACCTTCGGGAGCGCCTCGGCCGGGGCCCCGACTCTCAAAGCTTTGAACAAAATCTCAGGACGAATGAAATGACGCCCCCCGCCCCCACAAACAGCAAAAGAAAAGGGCGGCCGACGGCGATTCTTCGGAATAGCCGGCCTACGGTCCGAAAGACGCGTCCGGCGGTCGGGCTCTCGCGACGTCTCGCGACCCCGCCTCCCTCCCCGGAGTCGACGCGAGGACGAGCGGCGTCGGCGTGCCCTACGAACCCGAGTGCGTGCGCATGTGCCTGGTCAGATGCGTCTTCTGGGAGCTGGAGTAGTCGCAGTACGGGCACCGGAACGGACGCACACCTGCAAAAGGGACAAGCGGCCTTAGACGACGCCGCCGTCGGCGCCGGCGCCCGCCCGCCCGGAGACCCTCACCCGTGTGCGTGCGGATGTGCTGGATGTAGTTGCTCTTGCGGTCGGAAAAATAGGAACACTGCGCGCACGTGTGCAGTTTGCTGGGAAAGTGATTGCGCAGGTGCTTCCTCCAATGGTACTGACTGACGGTGCTGTAGGCGCACAAGGTGCACTTGAAGACCCTGCCAAGGCACACACGGGGCGGACGCGTCACGGCCGGGGCGCCGCG